GCGAAATTCATATTAAATTTTAGTTCCTCTCGAATTACATGAAATTTCAGTGAAATTTCGGTCGAATTACACAGAATCCTAAATGAATCGCATGGGGGAATTCTAAACAATTATATGAACTAATGAACTTCCACCGAAATTCCCAACATGAAATTTCAGTTCTTACTGAATTTTAGTAAAATTCCAGAAAATTCCACAAGTGGAATGCCGAGGAATTTCCGGCTAAAAACATGGAATTTCGGTGATATTCCCAAAAATTCCCATGTAATTACATGAAATTTCAATATATTTCGGTGAATTTTCAACGAATTACTTGAAGTTTCATTAATCTTCCCAGAAGTTCCTGGCTATTAAAAGAGAATTTCAGTGGACTTCCGAGAAATCTTCGGCGGTGAACGTAGAATTTCAAAATATTCTCATAAAATTTTAGTGAATTTCGAGGAATTTTCAAGAAATTACATGAAATGTCAATGAAATTCCGAAGAATTTTATGAAAATTTTGTGGAATTCCAGGATATTTCAGTAATGAAATGTTAGGGAATTTCAGTAAAGTAAAAAAAAAAATTATAGAATTTTGAAATTGAGATTTTAGTGGAATTCCGAGGAATTTCATTAAACCATATACTGTAATTCCGAAAAAAAATTGTCTAAGAATTCCATAAAATCTTCTGATGAAATGTTAAGGAATTTCTAAGGAATTACTAAAAATTTTCGCGGAATTCCTATGGAATAACTTGAACTTTTACTGGAATTCCAAAGAATTTTTTGAAATCTTATATTGTAATTCCGAAGAAAAAAAAATTCTAAGAATTCCATTGAATTTTATGGTTTGAAATGTGACATGTGAAATTTTTGCGAAGTTTCCATAGAATTCACATTTAATATCGGGGAATTCCATAAAATCTTCTGGTGAAATTCTAAGAAATCTCTATGAAATTAGTTAAAATTTTCACGGAATTCCCATAGAATAACTTGAAATTTTAATGGAATTCCGAAGAATTTCATGAAATATCATAGTGTAATTCCGAGGAATTTTTGTGCATTAAATTTTATAATGGAATTCCATAGAATCTTATGATGAAATTCGGAAAAGTATTATGAAAACTTATAGTTAAATTTCTAAGAGTTTACGTTTTTCCATTCAAATTTATCACTTGAATGGAATTTCGAAGAATTCCATAAAATCTTCTAGTGAAATTCTAAGGAATTTCTATGGAATTGACTAAAATTTCCGCGGAATTCCCATGGACTAACTTGAAATTTTACTGGAATTCCAAAGAATTTCATGAAATCTTATATTGTAATTATGAAGAAAAAAAAATTCTAAGAATTCCATTGAATTTTATGGTGTGAAATGTGACATGTGAAATTTTTGCGAAGTTTCCATAGAATTCACATTTAATTTTAGTTCCTCTCGAATTACATGAAATTTCGAGAAATTACATGAAATTTCAGTGGAATTTTTATCGAATTTCATGAAATCCTGAATGAGTTGCATGGAGGAATTCTGAACAATTAAGTACATAGAATTACACCGAAATTCCCAACATTAAATTTCAGTGCTCGTTAAATTACATTAAGAATTTATAAAGTTTTAAAAAATTACATCGAATTCAAATTACGTCGAATCATACAATATAGAGCTCCAATGCAATTGCAAGAAATTCCAAGGAATTGTCAGGGAATTACATGAACTTTCAGTGGAATTTTGAACAACTCTTATCGTTTTATAAGGAATTCCAGAGAAATTCCAAAAAATCTTAATGTAATTAATTACATGAAGTTTTAGTTATATTCCCTGTTAAAAACATGGCATTTTAGTGAAATTGATATTCCGAAAAATTCCTATCGAATAACTGAATTTTAGTAAAATTAGAGAAAAATTTCACAAGTGGAATTTCCGGCTAAAAAATTTCGATGAATGGAAAAATTTCCATGTTTATACCTAATGATATGAAATTTCAATATATTTCGGAGGAATTTCGGTCAATTTTCAAGAAATTACTTGAAGTTTCATTAATATTCCCAAAAATTCCTGACTATTGAAAGAGAATTTCGGTGAAATTCCGAAAAATTCTTATGGAAATAAATGAAATTTTGGAAAAAAATTTGAAGTTTCATTGGAATTTCGAGAAATATTCGACTAATAACGTGGAATTCAATGAAATTTCAAAAAATTCTCATAAAATTTTAGTGATATTCCGAGGAATTTCTAAGAAATTATAGGAAATGTCAGTGAAATTCCTAAAAATTTTATGAAAATATTGTGGAATTCCAGGATATAGCAGTGGTGAAGTTTTGGGAAGTTTCAGTTTATGTAAGTTAATTATAGAATTTGGAATTTCTATAGAATTTTGGAGAATTTCAGTGAAATTTCGAAAAAAAAAAAACATGAAATATTCGCAGAATTTCCATCAAATTATATGCATATAATTTCATTTTGTGTCGACTTACCTACATAAAATTTCGATGAAATGTCGAGTAAAATTCCAAGGAATTCTCGTCGAATTATATCCATGGAATTCCTTGAAACATTATTGTGGAATTTCAGTGAAATTACATGAAATCCGAAGAATTCCCTTGAAATTAAACAAAATTTCCGTGAAATTTTCATGGAACCACGAGAAATTTCGACAGAATTCCGAAGAATTGAATTAAATTTTAGCGAAATTCTGAGTATTTCTGTCGAATTACATAAAATTTTAGTGGAATTCCGAGAAATTTCATGATATCTTTTACTGTATTTCCGAGGAATTTTTGTACAAGAATTCCATTGAATTAGGTGGAATTCTATGGAATCTTATGGTAAAATTCTGAAAAGTATTATGAAATCTTATGGTAAAATCGAGGGGAAAATTTCTAGGACTTTTTTTTCTATTCAAATTTGTCATTTGAATGGAATTTCGAGGAATTCCATAAAATCTTCTAGTGAAATTCTAAGGAATTTCTACGGAATTAACAAAAATTTTCGCAAAATTCCCATGAAATAACTTGAAATTTTAGTGGAATGCTGAAGAATTTCATGAAATGTTAAGTAGTGCAATTTCGAGGAATTTTTGTCCAAGAATTCCATTGAATTTTATGGTGGAATTCCATAGAATCATATGATGAAATTCGGAAAAGTATTATGAAATCCTATACCTAGTTAAATGTCTAGGAATTTTTCATTTAAATTTAGAATTTCTAAAAACTTTTCAAAAACCTCTAAAATGCTCCAGAATCACCTAGAATTTTGAAAATCTAAAATCTTCTGAACTCCTGTAAAATCGTGTAAACATTTTCAAAATTCCCAAAATCCTACAAAACAATTAAGATTTAAAATATGTGTTCATTTTTTTATAGAGTTAACTAAACCTCGGAGCGATTGATTGATCAAAATCTGTGTACAAGTCCAGAAAAACTTGTACACAGTGTACTTAAAATCCCTGAAAATCTTTAAAAATTTAACAAAACTTCACAAAATCTCTTTCAAATCACTTGAAATTGCATCAAATTTCACAAAATCACACAACATTTTATTAGAACAAAAAAAATCCGACAAAATCTTATAATATCATTAATATATGTATTCCTAAAAGAAAGTTCCTTCCAAATTTCCAAATGTCTTTTGGAATCGTCAAAAATCCGTTAAAATTTCTAAAAATCCTTTAGGATCTCCAATGGCCGTTTCCACCAACTATTTTATGGGAGCTTCAACAATAAGTATTCCTTAAAATGACAGACTTCTATGGAGAGATGTCAGTTTAACAAATACTCATCGTTAAGGCTCCCCTAAATTAGTTGGTAAAAACGTCATGAAAACCCTATTTAAATTCCCAAAAATGATTCAAAATCACCTAAAATCTAATAAATCTAAAATCTTTTAAAATCCTGTCGTAAGATCTATTTAAAATCCCTGAAAATCTTTAAAACCTTCAAAAATCTAACAAAATTTTATTAGAACAAAACAAATCCGGCAAAATGTTATAAAATTCCTAATAAAAAAATTCCTTTAACATTTCCAAAAATCCTTTGGATCCCAAAAATCCGTTAAAATCTCTAAAAATCCTTTAAGATCTTTAGAAACCCTTCTAACTTCCCTAAAATCACCTAAAATCTTTTAAAATCCTGTAAAATCATGTGAAGATTTTCAAAATTCTCAAAATCCTACAATATCAATGAAGATTTAAAATCTGTGTACATATTTTAAGGAGTTAACCACCCCTCGAATAACACTTTGGAGTTCTTTTGCTGAAAGTGCGTTAGAAAACGCGTCACTGTGTAACTTGACGTAGAACTAGACCAATATTTACTTAGTCAACAAAAAGAAAATGTATCGTAGGGTGCTCGGTAGGGTGTGTTTCTACTCCAGAGGCAACAATACACTGCAAAAAATATGATATAGGTGCTTTCCAAAAAAGAATAAACCCAAATGGGACTAAAATTGTTTTACATATAATGAAAAAGTAACTGCAATGAACGATTAACTCAAAATTACTATAATGTGTCCAAGATTAAGTTTTTTTTTCCTCAATTATTTGTATTCGATTAAATTGTATGTATAGCCTTTGAAGGGCTGTACCAGAGACGGCTGTACATACTGTCAAGTAAATAAATGTTAGTTTCATATTTTGGAAAGCCCGCTTGGAGTCTTGAATTCGATTTGCAGTCGTTACTTCAATCACCCCCCAGCATGAGAGACTGGAGTAGGTATCCTGGGAATTCCAATAAGTATGAATTTTGATGTAGGCCCTTCTATTCAATATTTAGGTATCTATAACCAAACACGAAGCTTAACGTTTTGTGTCCTAAGGATGACTTTGTAAAAGTCGAAATATAGATAACAAAATATAGTTTTCTGTTTTTATTTGGCATCCATCCAAGAAAAAACTTCTCCTAACATAAAACCATATGTTTATTTTACAACCTTCCGGAAAATCTGGATTTTCCAAAAATTATCGAATTAAATTGTTTATATTTTATCCACCCACCAACACCCACATAATTTTTTTATTTTCCAGCGAGAACCTCATAATCAAGAATTATGGCAAGGATCCAAATCATTCAAATAAAACTCGCAAAGCTTGACGCATTTGAGAAGAGGTAATCAATTACATTTTCCAAAAATGTAGTTGCATACGTAACGTGGCAAAATAAAAATAAAACGCATAAGACTGGAATTGTTACTTTAGAAAAGTTTGCGAACCCCGATTTGTTGGCGTCCCTTTGACAAATAAGCTTATATTTAATATTATTTGCTGACTAAAATGGCTGAGGATAGGAAGAAGTTTTACTGTCGAGAATGGGCTTTTCAAAAGCTTTTGCACTGTCTCGACCAGAGACCTGTGTCGAAAACTTGTGGGGCTCTTTTGCTGGGAAGTTCTGGCTGTGGAAAAACGACTTTTTGTTCCGAGCTTTGCTGGCCATCGCAAGGACCATCAGGAAGGCAACAGCGAGCTTTAAATCGTCGATTAATGTGCTATCACTTTTTACAAGGCCATAATGAAAAGAGTTTGTCATTGAGTGAATTTGTACGTTCGTTGGTGACGCAAATATTAAATCACTCCACTGAAAGCCATAGAGAGAGAAGTATGAGACGCAAATTAGCACAAGATAAAGAAAAAAGGGGAGAAAATTTAATGAGTCCTAAAAATAATATTTCCTACGAGCATAACCTGTCAGAAAATTGTAATTTACCACAAGAGAGCCTCTATAGCAATGTTTACTCTGAAAGTTTATTATCGCCTACGTTGGAAGCTAAGCGAGTGCCAGATCCAGTATCAATACCCAATATGCCAGTTAGTCCTCGGACAGTCATAGCAGATGCCTATTTAGAAAAACTTAAATCTGATCCTGAGATTCAAATAGCCTTAAGGGCGAAAAACATCGAGAGCAACCCAGATGATTGTCTGAAAAGAGCATTATTATTTCCTTTATTGGAAATCGATCCACCTAAGACTTCGTTGTTTTTAATTATCGATTCAATAGATGAACATTCGTTTATTTATTCAAATTCTACATTAACTCGTTCAAAACCTCGCGAAAGAAGTTCGCAATCACGAACTATAGCGGAATTGCTTGCCAATCATCACCATTTATTTCCTCAGTGGTTGCTTCTGGTTTGCACAGCGAAAAAACAATCAAAAAGCATCGCAAAAATGTTCACTGGATTCAGAAAACTGAGCTTAGACGACTTACGAAAAACTCAGGTCGTTAGAGATGTTCAGCAATATATTTTAGCTAGGCTAGATCAGGAAAATAGCTTAAGGCAACACATAAGTAGAGATACAGCTGAAATGCTTAATCAATTACACATAAAAAGCAATGGGTGTTTTTTGTATTTAGAAAAAGTTCTTGATGGCGTTGCCGAGAATTTTATAGTTTTAAGGGAAGTCAGAGAAATTCCTGGTACTTTAAATGGTTTATATTTGTGGCTTTGTCAAAGATTATTTAATCGAAGACAATTTGCTAAAGTTCAGCCACTATTGAACGTGATACTAGCAGCAAAATGTGCCCTAAATGAAGCCCTGTTATTTGACATTGTTAAAGTGAACAATTCAAAAATCACCATAGAAGATTTTAAGAAACGATTCAACCTATTGAAGAAAGTTATTGTGATTTCTAAAAATGATACTATAAGATTATTTCACCATTCATTTGCCGAGTGGCTCTTGGACATCAAACATTGCACACAAAAATATTTATGCAACATTTTCCACGGACATTGCATACTTGCCATGTATTATACTTTACACGCTAAAGTATTGAATAATCAGGAGATTTATGATTACGCCTTCCATTTGACAAGGATGGAACAATTTTTGACTGAGAAACCTAATCAAAAATGTCCTACTTTGATGTATAAGTTTACTCAAGAAAAAGCCGGTAATTCGTTGGAGAAAACATCAACGGAAATTTATTCGGATTTGAAAGCTTTACAGGTAACACATTTTTTTATTGTGATTATTTTGGGGTTTAAGTATCTATTGTTTGTAGGAATTGACTAAAACCTATGAAAAGGAATTAGCATTTGAACTGAACAATGTAGAAACGTTAGAGAGTAGCTTTGCCGATACAGAAACTAGTCAGAATAACTTGGATGAAACGAATTTCGAAGCGAAACTGGAGGCTCAGTTTGAAAACATTAATTTGAAGAGTCCAGTGTCTGATAAGAATCCTATTTATGCTGAAGTGAATAAATTGAAGAAGACGTCAAATCAGGTAAGTGATGAAAGATGTAGTTACCTATTTCAAAAATTTTTCTTTAAAAATCTCTCGAATCCAGATATAAATATAAATACTTAAATATTAACGTGAATGTGAATGTTACATATTAGTATAGATATCACGGTATGAATATCTATCGATAGTTTAGAAAAAGTATAACTGATGTCAGTGGCGGCTCGTCAGAGGAGGCAGGGGAGGCTAAGCCTCCCCCAAAAAATTGAAAATTCAATCCCAGTTTCTTATTCCTGATTTCTAATTAAAATAATAGTTCACAAATTTCACTTTCCAAATTTCGATATTTTAATGTAACAAATCTGACAACATTATTTCAATCAATCTCGCGCCTCCACGACAAAAATCTGTGAATCTAAGATATACTCAGACTCAGTGATACGAGCCCGAAGGGTCGGAGTTATACGCGAGCCCGAAGGGCAGTGGCGGCTCGTGACTATTTCAAGGGAGGAGGCTAATAACAGTATAGGATTTCATGAAATTCCTCGGAATTCCATTAAGATTTCAATTTCAAAATTCCATATTTTTTTTTTTACCTTTAGGTACTAAAATTCCTCAAAATTTAACCACTGAAATATCCTGGAATTCCACAAAATTTTCATAAAATTCTTTGGAATTTCATTGACATTTCATGTAATTTCTTAAAAATTTCTCGGAATTCACTAAAATTTTATGAGAATATCCACTTTCATAACCGAAAATTTCTCGAAAGTCCAATGAAACTTCAGAGTTTTCAATTTAATTTATTTTCATAAGAATTTTTCGGAATTTCACTGAAATTCTCTTTTAATAGCCAGGAATTTCTGGGAATATTAATGAATTTTCAAGTAATTTCTTAAAAATTCATCGAAATATATTGAAATTTCATGTTATTACATGGTAATTTTTCGGAATATCACCGAAATTCCATGTTTTTAGTTGGAAATTCCTCGGCATTACAAAATTCAGTAAAAACTGAAATGTCATGTTGGGAATTTCGGTGTAATTTCATGTAATTTTTTAAAATTCCTCCATGTAATTCATTAAGGATTTCGTGTAATTTGATCGGAATTTCACTAAAATTTCAAGTAATTCGAGAGGAATTAAAATTTAATGTGAATTCTATGGAAACTCCGCAAAAATTTAACAGCTAATTCCTTTTTCAGAATAACATAATTATTCTACCGAAATTCCACTAAATTATGGAATTCTGAGATTTTAATAGATTTTTGGGGATTCCAAAAAATATTTGGGACTTTAAAGGAAATATTTTTCAGAAATGTCAATGATTGCATGGGTATAAAATAACCTATGAATCGAGATTTGATAAAAACATATGGCAACGCTGCTCATGATACAACAAACGTCAAAAAATTTAAATATCAAAGTAGGCCTTGGTTTTTTTTGACAGTCGATATAAAATGGCGTCTTTTTGTTTCAAAGATTACGATCCAAAAAGCCGAAGTATTAAAATCAGTTAACAATGAACGGGTTCGTATAATTCCGGCCCTTCGGACTCGTATAACCTTGGCCCTTTGAGCTCATAATTATTGCGATAACTTCAGCCTTCCAGAATCGAGATTCGAAAAAAAAACATATGGCAACACTGCTTATAATACAACAAACGTCAAAAAATTGGCCCTGTTTGGCCACTTTTTACGTATTCGCCGAGGCTAAATCTATATTCCCATGTAGGTTTTTTTTTTTTAATTTTGACTGTCAATGTCAAAAATGTTTACCTTTTTTTTTTCAAAAAACAAATGTCAGAAAACGATCCCCAGGCTCCGAAAACCCTAAAATAAGAAGTTTCATCGATATATGTCAAAAACCAACCGCCTGGCAACGCCGAACGTCTTTTTTGACATATGTTAAAAAAAAAAAAAAATTGATACTTCCTACGTATTCGCCGAGACTAAATCTATATGCCCATTGAAATTTTGACAGCTGTCAATCTCAAAAAAAAAAATCTTTTGTTTTTTCCAAAAAACAAAGGTCGTTTTTTAGTGGGTTTTAGGGTGAGATTTATGTAACAACATGTAGCAACAGTTGGTATAAAAAATTCAATTTCCCGTCGGGTTTGGAATTCGAATTTTTGAATTTTTCCGGCTCCTGATTGGTTTGGGGATTCGAATTTTGTTTATTCCCGGCTCTTGATTGTCTTTAAAATAATCTATAATTTCGGCCCTTCGAGCTCGAGATTTGAAAGAAAAACATATGGCAACACTGCTCATGATACAACAAACGTCAAAAAATTGAAATTTCAAACCTTGGGTTTTTTTGACAATCGATACAAAATGACGTCTTTTTGTTTCAAAGATTACGGCCCGAAGGGCCGGAGTATGAAAAATCAGTTAACAATGAACGGGTTCGTTCGGATAAAACTTTTGTCGCACGACACTTTAGCAATATCGACAAATGTCATCTGTCAAATTTGACACATTTTCTACTTTTTCTCCGCTCTACTATAAAAGCTACGAAAATCAAACCCCGGTACAAGGCAGTTTTCACTGTATTCCTTTTATACATCGAGTTACACCTAACAAGCTCCTCGGAGTCACTTCAAAACACACAATTCAGATTTCATCATTATTTAAAAGGGCTTATTGCACCCCCCGCAAATTTGGTGCATCAGGGGAAAGGGGGATGCATTATGAGCGACTCAAGTGCTCAACGCACTTTTAAAAGGAACGTTCAAGCTTTTGACATTGAGCAGCTCAACGGATAAAAGGAATAAAGTATTTGCGACGCTAACTATCGATTTGTGTCAAAAAAAATTGACAGCTGTCAACGTCAAAAAAGTTTTTTTTTTATTTTGCGAATTTCGAGAAAAAAAGTGATAGAAAACGATCCCCGGACCCCAAAAACCTTAAATAAAAATTCCAAAAAAAAAAACCATCGAAAATGACATTCCAAAACCTACTTGATAAAACTAAAGTTTTTCTCACTTTTCGTTAAAACACTGGAAATTTTTGGTGGAAAATGAAGAAAACTCAAAGTCTCGTACTTTAAATCGGTTTTTCCGACCAGAAAAGCCTTGGAAAAGCGGACAAATTCAAAGAAAAACTTCTAAAAATGACATTCCAAAGCCTACTTAATGAAATTTGAGTTTTTGTCACTTACCCCATTGGAAAACTGAGAATTTTTAGCACAAAATGTAGGAAATTCAAAGCTTCGTATTTCAAATCGGTTTTCTTGACTGAAAACGGCTTGGAAAAGCGGAAAATTCGAGGAAAAACTGGATAGAAATGTGAACACGTCAATTAAAAATTGCCGACTGTCAAAACTGGCAATGACATTTATTACAAAACCTATTTGAAGCTGGTACAAACAAACTTTTAAAAAAACCATTTTAAATGGGATTTTGTTATGTCATTTTAAAACTGGATATTTTTGCTAGAAATGAAGAAAACTCAAAGCCTCGTATGTTAAATTGCCTTTTTCCATTGAAAAGCCCCGGAAAAGTGAAAAATTTGAGGAAAAACTGGCAAAAAATTACAAGGCGTCACTTCAAAATGACCAACTAAAAGCAACGTTGCCACATCTCATTTCGGAAATTATAAATAACATTTTAAAAGGGTTTTTTGTTTAAAATTCAATTTAATAATTATTAATTAATAATGATTATAATAATTAAAATTCCCCAAATAAATCATAGGAAACTTGTTTTTAGTTTAATTTTAATGAAAATGACATTACAAGGTTTCCTTATTGATTATAGTGAGTAAGACAAAGACAATGATAAAGTAGTATATGTTTGCAAAAACCACCGTTTTCTGAAAAAAGTAAAAATCTTAAGAAAACCAACATTCCAAAGCCCATTTGATAAAACTAAAGTTTTTGAATATTCCCGACTCTTTGATCGGACGTTGAAAATCGCATTTTAAATACTCCCGGTTTTTGATTGGCTCCAAATTATCCGCTGACCAATAAAATTATAAACTAGGCCCCGTGATTAAAATAACTCTAGCCCTTCGGGTTCGCGTATAACTCCGGCCCTTCGGGCTCGCATATAACTCCGGCCCTTCGGGTTCGCATATAACTCCGGCCCTTTGGGCCGGTATTACTGAGTATCCTAGATTCATAGATATTTGTCGTGGAGGCGCGGGATTGATTGAAATAATGTTGTCAGATTTTTCTAAATTACATTGAAATTTCGAAAATTGGAAAGTGTAATTTGTTAATTATTATTTTAATTAGAAATCAGGAATAAAAAATTGAGATTGAATTTTCAATTTTTTGGGGGAGGTTTAGCCTCCCCTGCCTCCTCTGACGAGCCGCCACTGCCGAAGGGCTAGAGTTATTTTAATCACGGGGCCCAGTCTATAATTCTATTGGTCAGCGGATAATTTGGAGCCAATTAAAAATCGGGGATATTCAAAATGTGTTTTTTAGTCGATATTCCGAGTTTCAGTTCTCTCCGATGTACCGGAAAAAAGTTAGCCTCCCATCTTCTTGATTTTGATTTTTTTTTCCGAATTTCCAAAAAAAAAAAATACCATTAGATAGAGGAGCAAAAAAAACGTTGAGAAGCTTATGGGACCCTGCTTGCTATGACGCATTTTAGGGCCGGAAAAAAATTAAAAAAGGATATTTCGATTTTGGCCAGATAAATATTTCGGAGATCTGACACGACGTTACTTTTTCGCTTATAGCTCCGCTATTCCTCAACCGATCGTTTCGACATTTTAAAATTCAATATAATCAATATTTCCTGATGAAATAGTTATTTATGTATCAAGGGAATTATGAGGGTGTTAATACCCCAGGGCAACGTTTGTGTCCCGAGGGCCTCCGGCCCGAGGGACACCAATTGCCCGTGGGTATTAACACCTGATAATTCCCGTGGTACATAGATAATTTTATATCCTACTGAATTTACTGTATTCTGTCTATTTTTATAAAGGAATAAACTATAAATCAAAGTTTCAATTTTTTCTCAAAGTTTTACCTATTCAAGGTAAAAGCGGGAGTTATGGAAATCCTGTTTATGATTATCGTAACCA